TTAAATTAACTTTAGGCCCAATTGGCAAAACCTCAGAAGCAACAGGCTCTGTCAGCAGTAGCTTCAGAACTAAAGAGATAGGAAGTAAAAGATTGATTTCCCTCCCTACATCTATAGCTTTATGTGGATGGTGACTGTCATCATCTTCAAGTGTACAATGAGGACAAATGGAATTAAAACTAAAAAAAGGTCTGTGTTAAATATGGCAAAATGTTAGCAGTTGTTAAATTTGTGTGTTAACTCCATGGGCATCTGTTATAGTTGCACATTTCTATATGTTCGAAATATTTCATAATTAAAAATTTAAAGAATACCGCCTAACATAAAATACTCAGAGGAATACCAACAATCATCACAGCGGAAAATGAAATTCAAAGCCAAGGTGAAGTGTTCAAAGAATCACGTTTTCAAAAACTCATGACCTTCCTGGGGTGAGGCATTAACCGAAATGTGAATGTAACCATGATTTTGTACTCAAGCCTTTCTACTTCTTTAGAAAAAATTAATGTTTAACTCAATGTGTTGCACTTAGTAGCGTTAAGAGAGTATCATAAAACACGCTGTTCCCTGTTCCTCAGCTAAACCCAAATTAGAATCAGTCAGCTTTGAAATTTCATGACTTTCTGGGCCTGGAATTCACCACCTCTACAATGTATTAGCATTATTTTCCCATCTGAGTCCTCTTGGGCAGCAGCAGTAATAACCTCGGTTTTTTGTTAGAGGTTAGGACTGAACCTTCTTTGAGTCCTAAAGAAAATAGCCCCTCCTCTCATTTCAGTATGAGGTTTGTCAACTTACAGAGCTTCTTTTCAACTGATTTCCAGTGTACTTCACATTCCAGTTGGGGCACTTTCATCTGGTGCTGAAAAACAAACGTGGGCTTTAATCTCTAAGGCATGAAGGGGTGAGAATAGGTGAGCCACAGGCAGTTAGGATCCTCTCTGCTCAGTGCCTTTTGATTCCCTTTTCAGGGACCATTTGGGAACCAGCAGCACTTGCTACAGTCAGGGTATTGCATTGGATCCAGCTTTTTGGATAAAATCATAGGAAAGTGGTAAGCTTGAGATGAGGTAAACTATAAATTAAAGTGTGTTTGGGCACATTTTAAAGATCAATTAAAATTTGGCAATGAGATAATTTTAAAATCAACATTATGACTGGACTATCCCATGGCTTTTTAGCTGGGCAGACCTAGATCTGAATTCTGGTTTTGGTTCATTGTAGAATCAGGCACCTTGTCAAACCTTTCTGGGTTCTAATTTCCTCATCTAAAAATTGGAGAAATAACAATACCCATTTCACAGAGCTGTTGTGAGGATTGAATGAGGTAGTCCAAAGCCTGGCCTGCGAAATGCTGAACTCATCACTATTGTTACCGACACTTTTCTTCTTATTCTTTCAATTATTTTTTCTTGTCCTTCAGATTTCCATTCCAAGTTGAAAGCTATTATTTTGAAGTTAGAGAAAAGTACTTAATTTTATTTCTTACTGCTACTGATTCAAAATATCATGCTTTATTTCCAGTAAAGTAGATTTTCTTGAATTTTTGTTTGATATTCTGTGCCTTACATTTCATCTTCTCAAACATCTTTAAAAATAGAAACATTCTAAAAATTGAAGACAAGCATATTCAGAAGCCAAGTTTTTAAATCTCAGTGCTTCTGTTGACCAAAGCGCTCAAGGCACTGCTGACTTTCACTGGCTCCTCAGAGGGCTCTGTTGACTCCCTGAGGCACTGGTGTCAGTTACGGTCAGCCACTGGGGAACAAGAAACTTAAGCATTGGTGACATTGTGGGAGTCAGAGTCCCAGTAAGAAAGGCCACCAAAGCAGACAGGGCAGTTGTAAGTTTAGTCCTTTTCATTGGAGGTTGCCAGAAAAACAAGGACCATTTTCTTACATCGTTATGCAACTTTGAGCATGAAGTATATAGGAGGTGCTTAATAAACACTTACGGTACGATGTGTGACATCTCCCACGTAGAATCTTCATTTACCATGAAACAGACTGTTCTGGACTAAATGTATGTTATAACTAGTGTTACTCTGTGTTAGTCTTTCTTTATTTTTCAATATAGCAGAAATCTCAGAAGCTGAGAGCCAATAAGGCCCTGTCTGAGATGTTCTGGTGCAAATATGTGGAAGTAAAACCACACAGAGCTGCTAATAGTTCCCTAAATGTGACACTTTTCCTGTCGCTTATGTGCATTTTACACATGTTCCCTGGGCCAGAAGCACAGGGCTTTCATATTCACCTTCCCTTACCCTCCACAATATTTTTCTGGACTATATCTTTACTCAAGATTCAATGCAGGCATCTCATCCTTCCAGAAGTCCCCTGTATCTCCCAGTCTGGGTTTGGGGCCTGTTCTCTGAGTTTCATAGCACCTGCCATATTTCTTACTATTCATCGCTCCTACCCAGTAGAGTGTAAATTCCTTTAGGGCAGATGCCATTTGTCTCATTCTCTTTGTGTTCTCAGAATTTAACACAGTGGCCTGGCATGAGGTATATGACCAGCTCCTTAGAGGAAGGATCTGGGAGCCCCACATTCCTAGCTATGGCCCTCCCCAGAGCAACAGGAGCACTGTTTTAGGGGGTAGGTATTGTTCTATGTCTACATGAGTAAACCTCATGGATTCAACAGAAAGCATGCAAACTGGAGAGAGACCCAAATGCCACCCCGTTGCACACCAGGACTCTGATTACTCTTCTTCCGCAGTAGAGGTTCAGAGGCAAAATTATCCAGATAGAAAATTGTCATGGAGGCATGAATATGAAAATGCTGGCACTGTGGAGGAAGTGATGTGTTTTGTCTTAAGCCAGACACTGTGGAGCATGGATTTAGAGAAGTCAATGCAGGCCTTACTGTTCTCAAGGCTGTGCTGAGTTGTAGGGCTCTGCCTGGCACATGGCCCTGTGTTGCCAAATGCCCAGTGTTGGGGCCTGTGTTTGCCAGATGCACTCCTGCATCTCATGCTTTCTAAAACGAGACATTTTTCCATTTCCACTCAGGTGACTAATCTTTTGCAATACAGTCAATAAGAAAGAAATTGATGAGCCACAACCTACTATAAGAATAGGATTGAGCCTTGAAAAGATTGAAAACTAGGGAAAATAATTTTAGACTACTCAGAAGACATTAATTAGTACTATACTTTCATAGGATCTGTAAAACTATTCTTCACTTCACCCAAATGATGACCTCCTGCCGTAATTTCCTGGGGAGTTGTTCTATAGAGCCTATAAATCTTTGCTGCTGTTACCTGGCACTATTTGTGATCAAGATCATTGGCTGACAGCATTTGCACTGGAAACAGACATGTCAATTCGTCTAATTAATTCGCTGGAGTAATTAATTATTTAACACTTATCTAATTAGCTAACACTTTCACCTGTCAGAGCCAGAGGTAAATGCCAAACTAGTATTCTGCAGTCCTCCTCATTACACCCTAAAAATAAATTGAGAGATACAGCATGGAATACCAAACAAAAGTATGAAGCCCCTTCTGGTGGATGGTAGGCATGTTGAGTCTCAACATTACCAGTGGTGGTGGAGAAAGGGCAGCAGGTAGATCACTCTGAGGTGGGATGCAAGAAATACATTTAATATACATTATTACACTCTACAAACAGGAATTGCTCTTCCAAATTACACGAACAACACACATGTATAGGCTTATTTTGCCTCAAAGTTGTCATTACCTTTTCCAAGATCAGTTTCCTTGGAGATTTTTGGATAATTTTGAGCAAAGTTACAAAAGTCTAATTGGTGGTAGCAGTTGCAAGAGTTGGAGTGCTACATTAGTTCCCTATTCTTCTTTCTCATTCTGTAAACTTTGCTACCTAGCCAAGATGAATTGAAGGAGGCCAGCATGGAATTTGAGGCATTCGTCCAAAGTGACCATCACCAGGAAGAGGAGTATCTCCTAACACGGAGACCTCAGTTAAGATATGGGCATTTTATTCCTCACTGTGATGCACATTTTTGCAGAGAAATTCATGCACATTATGAAATGTCTTGTATATGCTGCTGTTTGAGCATTTACGAACATTTGTAGCTCTGGTTTGCTTGCAAGCCATGAGATTAATGTTCTTCAAACTGTCACCATCATACAACTTCAGTTGATTGCCATGGGAGCTAAAGAAAAAGAACAGGATGAAGTTCTTTAAAGTCTTCTAGATTTTCCATCCCAAAAGTATAAAGTGAGAAGCAGCAGCAAAAGTAGTGAATTTATGGATTTTTTTAAAAAAGAGAAACTCCATTTTCTGAAAATATTAGGGTTTATTTTGTTATTCTACTTGTATTAACCTCTAACACCTGCTTCACTGGGTTTTACAGGCAGCCTAGGGGTTAGCTTAATGAAGCCCTAGAAAACAGATTTTGTTTAATTAGTAGACCTTCTGTGTGAATTTGAATGGGTAAAGTTCGAATGAAGAGGCATTCTGAGGTCGTGACTTTGTATGTTTTTCTTACTTGTGAACACAAAGTATGAAAACAAGTTTGTGAGGGGTAAAAATGAAATGTTTGGGAACTGAAAGTTCTCACGTGTACCAGACACATTATTGGAATCATTTTGGAAACCAGAAGAGGACTTGGGCCCATATACAGTCATCCCAAAGTAAATAAGTTGGTGTGCTACACCAGACCCACACTGGGATCAAGGCCAGAAGGGAAAGGTATACTGATCAACAGTTAACAAGCTAACCAACCTGGTCAGAGAGATAGGATGCCACACCTTCGAAGGGAGCCTATCTTCTTGAGGAAGTGTTGCTCTGAGAGCTGGACTATAGTATAAAAGGCCATATCGAGGAGGATATTTTTTGAATTGGTACGGGAGTTTAGAATGCTAAGAGAAAATTTCCATTAGCAATTTCAGAAGAAAACAATAGTTTTAAGGGAAGGTGTCATTCTAACTTGGAGCTGAACTATTATGATTGATCTATAATTTAATAGCAAATCACTATATATTTCTTTGCTGACATTTACTTAAGAGTGACTATCCACACAGTACAAAGTATGGCTTCGATTTTACCTGCTTCCAATAAATCCATGACATCTGACAGGAATACATATGTTGGGTAAGTAATTTTGGTTTTTTTTTTTATTTGTTTTGATCACATGGATGTTCTTTGGATTTTATATTAAATGTTCAGTAGACCTATACAGTTACATAAATTTCTTAGGTTTAGAGATGACATAGTTGGAACAGCTCATAATACAAAACAAAATAAAAACAATGCAGATTTTCTTCTCGATAACGTTTTCATTCCTTGGTTCTTGGGGAAATTTGGCTCATTTAAGAAAGAAGGGCAATATGCCAATTATATCTCAATTTAAAAATAAGTGAAGCAAAAAAAAAAATACATGCAAAAGTTTAACCAACCTGCATGAGTGAACATATTCAAAGTTCAGCTTGGTGTTCAGCCTTTAATTCCAGGACCATGGACTGAAATATCTGAGAAATAATTAAAGGGGCCTCCCAGTGCCTAAGGGAGATTTAACTGTGTTGCAGCATATTATGAAGTGATTTCATATGCTTTGTGATAGACTTTACAGAGAATTCACTTCTAAAATACCATGTATGTTATTCATCTCAGGGGTAGACATAAATCTTCCAAAGCTGTCTGCAAATTTAGCTTCAATTCTTGCCCCAGGTTCACAGAACATAATAGAGCATTAATCTTCAGGAGGCTTTAGGAACTTTTGCATGTTCCCTCTGATTCGTGACTTGTATGAAATGTCTTGCTTAGTGCCTCCATCATGTCAGCATTTCAGAAAATGTTCATTTGCTCATTCCAAAGAGAGGTAGCCTCCTACCATGTTCATTTCTTCAGGGAAGCCAAGGAGAGAGAAAAGGAAAAATTATGAAGACGAAGGTAATGTTAAAATGGAAAGACCTCTTTTCAGCCAATACTTTTCTTTGGTTACCAGTATTCAGTACTAACTCTGCTGGGTAACTTGTCATGGTGTGCTAAAAGACTTTATTCCCAACCTCATCTTTGTCCTGCATTTTAAGAAAAGGAAAGAAAATGCAAAATGAGGTTAAGGAAGGAAACAATGCAAGTCTATTTAGTAAAAATTATATTTTGAAAAGATCAAAGTATTACAATTGCCAGATTCATACTGGGATGAATTTGGCATAATACTCCAAACTAGTCTTTTCTTTGGTAACTGATAGTGTGACCATCTTAGAAATGTTTCTTGATGAACCAGCCCAAAGGGATACGAATCTTCAACAGATATGCCCCAAAATATTCTGACCAAAGAATCATCAGTTATTGGGACAGACCATCAAGGAAAATTAAAGAATATCTCCTAATTAATTAATAGGAGTATTATGATTAATGGTTTGAGAATTTCTTCTTAAAGATAGGAAAGGTGGAGTACATCAAATTTTTAAAATACCAAGGCCCATATCTCCTTGACCAACTAAACCAGAATTTCTAGGGGTGGGGCCCAGTTTTCAGTACCTTTAAAAGCACCCTCAGGTGATTCCGATATGCAGTTAAAGTTTGGAATCACTGGAGTAGATGAATGACACTCTTTTCTGGAGTAAGGATTTATAGATTCAGTTGGGAATCAAAGAAAAAATCTCCTGAGTAAAAGCAGTTTGACAGAATTAAACAGAAAGTGTAAGGGAAGCTGGAAGAGAAAGTAAATAGCAGTGTTTCTCAAACTTTAATGTGCACGAAATCACATAAGAGTTGATTAAAAGGCAGATTGTGATTTAGTAGGTCTAGAGTGGGCCTGAGAGTTTCCATTTCCTGGTGATGCTGCTAGCTCATTGATCACACTTATTCTAACAAGGGAGCATGGGTACATCCTCTCACCTTTCTCCATAAGGAAGGAGGAATCCTTTTGCTGTGATGCTCTGAGGCTTATTCTGAAGTAGTGAAGTGTACTAACATCATGGAAAACTTTATTTTTGAAACCAGCTATGATCTACTAACTAATTAAGAATCTGTTACCCTAAATATTTTTGAGGAGAAAGTTAATAGTATAGTGTTCCACTTCCTGAACAGTTAAATTTAATTCAACAAATAGAATTTGTTAAGACTTGGGGATTAAAACAAGATATATGAGACAGCTTGCATGAGAGAATTCACAATTTTTCTGGGGAGACAGAAAATTAACATATGAAATGCTATCTATCAGCCTTAGAATGAAATAAATGCTTTAGGTGCATAGTGTAGGGTGAGGGAAAGGGGAGGCAGGAATTCATACTGACTGGAGAAAAGATGCTTGGAAAACCTTCATGGAGGAGATGATATTTCATTTTGACCTTGGAAAATGAGTAGGATTCTAATAAGTGAAAAATAGAGGGAAAGGGGAAGGATGTTTCAGGAACAAAGGCCTAACGGGGTTCTCAATTTTGGCCGTACATCACATCATGTGGGAAGCTTTAAAAAATGCTTTCGGATTCTAAATTCATTGGGTCAAAGCACCAGTGTTTTTCTAAAAGCTCCTTGGTGATTATAATTGTTGAAGATCACTGGAGATATAGAAAAACGAAAGGATTTTGTTAAAATGTTTAGAGTTATTTAGTGGGAGATGGAAGGAAGTTATAGGAAAGAAGTCCCACATGGTTCTTGGCAAAGATGACTTGACCCAATGTGTTATGGGGTAGATAATTTGTTATCACTAATAATTAAAGTATATAATCTTTACACAAATAACCAAAGGCTGTGAATGATGGGCTCCATAAATATGAATTAGATTGAATTTAGGTCATTCTTATAGCAGCAGTCAGCTCACTGTCTTGCATTCTATGTCCTGCATTATTTTACCAAGAGAGAGAAACGATGGTGGCCTGGCTAGGCTCATTTAGGTCTCAGGGCGATCTTGCAAAGCAGTTATTATTTTTACTATACTCATTTTACAGACTAGGAAACTAAAGAATAAAGATAAAGCAACTTACCCAAGATTGCAGAATTAGTTAGTATATATATGGTTGAACTAGTAGTGGAACCCAGGCAATCTGACTACAGAGCCCAGTAGCTTATATTACACAGCCACCCATGCAAAGAAAGAAAATGACCACGAGGGCGGCACAGAACTGGATAGAAATGACTATTCTGTAATCTACTGGTTGTAAAATCTTGTACAAGTTTCTCAGTTTCTGTATACCTTGGCTTCTTCATTTGTAAATTGGATTGTTTAGTATTGCTTTCATTGCTATGGGAGTGTTATGGGATTAAATGAGGTATTGTATTTATTATATGCAATTTTATGGCATTGTGCACTTTCATGCATAAGGCTATGCCTATGTGCACAAAAAATATTAGTTGTTGTTGTTGTTATTATTATTATTATACTGTATTGCTTCTTGACAAAGCATTTAATCCTAAATGAAGGTTTGTATCCAATTTGGGCTAGTGATTATCATAGATGTAGACTGATATCTTTTTCTTGTACGTGCCTTCTCTCTAAATTCTTTTATACTTTTTTCATATTATTTTTTCCAGAAAAAGGTTTGTTCATGTTAAAAATCCTTACCTGGATTCTATGGATGAAGACATTCTCTATCACTTGGATTTAGGAACAAAAACACACAATCTACCAGCAATGTTTGGGGATGTAAAGGTAAAAATATTTCTAACTTTAGGAAAAACAATTGCGTCTCCTTTGCTGATATTGCTTCGTATTTTCCCCCAATATAAACTTTACCCATTCAGCTAGCAAAATGTCAGAGGTCCCAATAGGATCTGAAGGCATGTTCATTCTCTGAAACAATTTAGAATCTGTTCATCATGAACAACAAGACATAAAGGCTCCCAAACTAAATCTAATACAAACATGATTATTTGGCTGCTCTGGTCCCTAGAGGTAAATACAATTTTATTCACAATAGAGTTGAGTGTTGACAATTCATTGTGATTCACTTCACTGTTTAACATCTACATTTATATTCGAACCTCACTAATTCACATTTTATTAAATCATAACATTAACTCAACAAAATTAACAATGCTGCCTTATTCTACTTTTTGAAAATAACCAGTATTCAATATTTCATATTATTAAGATTTTTATTTCATAAGAAATATTATGAGAAAAGTGTTTATGGAATAATACTAGAAAAATTTACTTCTCTAGTATTTATTTTATCTTATATATATTAATTATAAAAGCAGTTCATATTCATTATTTAAACTGGAAAAATATTAGAGAACAATGATTTTTAAAAATACATCTAAAAAACCCTTATCTAAACATAGACATCAGCCTATTTTCTTTTCTTTTAATCTCCTTTAATAAATTTTAAAATAGTTGGAATTACATAACTTTGCATCCTGCATTTTGTACTTAACTTTATGTCACTAACATTTCCCCATATTATGACATTTTCTTTGATACATTATTTATGGATGTCAAGTGGCTGTGCCATACATTATATAGTCTACTTTTATATTAAAGTATTTTCTATTATAAAAACCACTAAAATGGATTATTTTCACACCTAAATATTTTTCACATTTAAGTCTATTTACTTAGGATGATTCATTGCAGTGGTCAAAGGGAATAAACTTTTAAAATAATTTTTGTTTTTCAAAAGGACTTTACTTATTCAGATTCTCATCAATAGAGAATTGTACAGTTTTCATCTGACTTTTATTCACTTTTTTTAGCAATTACAAAAACAAACAAACAAAGCAAATCTCATATACAGTATCTCATCTAATCTTTATGTTAGCCCTCTTAGGTGGGTTTAACAGACGTTCATTTCCTACATAAAACAAAGAAATTAAGTTCAAAGAAGTCAAAGGAAGTTAACAAGTTACAACAGACAGTGGCAGAGATAGAAATTGGATCACATTTCATATTTCAAGTCCAATTTCTAGGGTTCTTACCCACTGCACTTGGAGTCATAATAACTGAGAACAGTTCATTCATTGAGAGGGGGAACTGAAGAAAGGGGATGAAGAAGGAAAGAAGGCGAGAAGGAGGAGAAGGAGAAGGAGAAAGGAAGGAGCTAAATTGCTTCCTCCCCCTCCCATCTCTCCCAGGCCACAATGCCTAAGGTTGTGTCCTGATTTGACATACCCATTACCCCACTCCAGTCTGCTGCTCCTTGTCTTTTAATGCAGTAGTCCCTAACCTTTTTGGCACCAGGGACCGGTGCTCCTATGAGAATCTAATGCCTGATGAACTGAGATGGAGCTGAGGTGGTGATGCCAGCGCTGGGGAGCGGCTGCAAAACCAGATGAAGCTCAGCATGCTTGCCTGCTGCTCACCTCCTGTTGTGCAGCCTCGTTCCTAATAGGCCACTGACCAGTACCTGTCTGTGGCCTAGGAGCTGGGGACCCCTATTTTAGTAGCCTTTCTCCATATTTACCTTCAATGTAACCTCTCTCCCTACTACTGTTTCTGATGTTTATGTTCCCAGAGTCATTGATCAAGGCTATTATGATAATCACCAACCAGACTTTACTTGATTTAAAATAATATTAGATTTGAGGTTCATGTCTCACGATGATTTTCCCAGGACCTTTATTTGGAGATTAATTAAAAGACGCATCATAATTAATAAACTAAGGTGCACATCTAATTAAACTAGAAAGACTCAGGATATGTTTTTGAGACGGAACGTTTCTATTATCTACATGTCTAGGTACCTGTCTTTTCTCTACCATTTATGGAGAGCTTTCCATGTATCTGACTCTGTGTTAGGCATATGTCTATGTATATCATTCTAAACCCATAGCAGCTAAAGTCGTTGTTATTGTCTCCATTGTACAGATGAGAAAACTGAAGCTCAAACATACATGTAGTTGTAACATATGTATCTATACATATTTGTAACATACGTTATAAATGTATTGTTATAAATATGTCATAGCCCTATATCTATGTATCTGTACATATATATCTCTCTCTCTTTGTTTATCTATATATCTATATCTGTAATAGTCATAACATAGCTAGTGAGTGAAAGAATTGGACTTAAACCTTAGGCTTCTCTGATGAAAAGCATAATAGTTCTTTCTTTAGTTGAAAGACAATAAGCACTACATTTTGTACTCTGTTAGTTTTTGGGAAATCATTGGAATGGAAAGCTTTGTTTCAGACATGAAAATAATGGGACTCTCACACCTCTCTCTTTCTCTCTCTCTCTCTCTCTCTCTCTCTCTCACACACACACACACACACACACACACACACACACACACACGGTTGTCTCATTGTTGTTACAATCCCAGGAATCAGGCCATAAATTCTCTACCTGACTAGATTTTCATCAGCACTTATTTTCACATTCTGTCATAACCTCTATCCAACCTTATAAACTCACCATCCACCTGGTGTGGACCCCTTCAGTAGATTCTCTTTTGAATAAAAAGACATGCTCTGATTTAGAATCCATTTTGTCCCACCAGAGAGCAACTCTATTGACTGGGCCATTTTGATGACTAGCAAGCAAAAGTACATGTGTGTGTACGTGTGTGTGTGTGTGTGTGTGTGTGTGTGTGTGTGTGTGTAGACTGGGAAGTAGATAATATAGTTCCAAATAATCAGACTGGCTGTTTAACCCATACCAGAATTCTCTAGAGACAGCAGGTAAAGTTTGATTTATATTTACAGATGCTGTTCTCAGAAACTTGCCTTCTTTCAGCCACATTCTTAGCTTTAAATGAAAACATGCTAGGTTCAGTTTCTTGACTCCTTTAAATCCTAGGGCAGCGATCCTAGTTAAGAGGAGAGGACATAATCCATCAGTACCTGAAAACTCAACCTCGTCTTCATAGAGATAATCATCGTTACTAACAGCACTATTTTCAAAGGAAAGGAGAACTCTGGATGTGTAAAATTTAGACCTTAAAGATGCTGACAATCAATCTTATTTCCTTCTTTTTTTCTACTTACTATATTTTAAAAGGTTTTGCTAGCTGGTACTGCAAAATATCAGTGGCTTAACACAAGTAAGTTTATTTCTTACTTACATTGAGTACAAAGTGGGTGTTACCAGTTTATGCGTACTTTCTTCCAGTGTGATTCAGGAACCCACCTTGGTGCTCTATCACCTTCAAGGAGTGGCTTGCAAAGTTTTTCTGAGTGTCAACATCTATCCAGCAGACAGGAGAAGACAATCTGTAGGATCACCAATGGGAAATTTCTATGGGCTAGGAGCAGAAGGGGCACCCATCATTTCTGCTCACATTCTGGTAACTGGAACACAGGCATGTGGCCTCATCTACTTGGACAGGAGGCTAGAAACTTGAGTTTAGTTGTGTGCTCCCAAAAAAGGGGAAACGGCTTTGATAAACAGCTAATCAGACTTTGTCATACTAGCTGGAATGAATCAAGCAATTAAAAAATATAGTGGAAGAGCTTTAGAAGTTATCTACTCAAACTTGACAGGCAAATACATCTTTTATAAAATTGCCAACTGATACCCTCCAATCTCTAACTAGAAAGTTCAAGTAACATGAAAAAACTTTACCTTATAACACTCTGTAATATACATTTTTTAAGTGTTTGTACTCCTTCGTTAACATACAAAACACGTGAACTGCAATAGGACCAGGTTAATAAAGCACAGCAGAGTTAAGCCTTTTAAGACAGTAGGCATATTTGTAAGTAACTCAATTCTGGCTATCTATGGCAAAGTCCTTAATATGTTTTTGTAATGTTTTAGACTCCTTCCCAATACACTTTTATCTTCTTTGATATAAATTGGACAAATTATAAATTTGTTTGGGACATAAATCACAGTAAGTGTCACTTAAGGTCAGTGTTGGTTGGTGGTCTTCAGCCATATGTTACTTCTCATTAAAGCAGCCAGACTTGAAATTGTGTCTAGAGGTGATATTTAGTAAGTCTGATTTAGGAGTAGGGCTTCAAGAATAAAAATGTTTCTGTCTATACCTATCATCTTTAAGTCACCAAAAACATTTGGAAATTCCTCTTGATTACAGCAATATCTAGAGTTCAAAGAAGAATTCAAACTGCAAGCTATTCTAACATCTGTTTCGATTTTATGGTCAATCTGAAAAGTTGTAATTTACATTCACTGTATGTACCGAATGATGAAGTTATTTTCAAACTACTGTCTTTTGAAAATATAAAACAAAACAAACAAAAAAATCTCTTTGTACTTAGATCTTGAGCTATGTCTTACTTGTTCATACCAACATAGGGAAAAATTTCATGAATAATCAATAACAATTTAAAAACTTTCCTTAGGCCATGGTCTTACTCTCTTTGCTACCCCGCCTTTATGGCTAACTTCCATTCCAGGTTATTATCAACTTTAAGCCCCATCAGGGAAACTCATCAGAAGCCACAGAAAAGACAATAATGAGGGCTGAAGAAAAGCAGAGGGGCTAGATAAAAGGATAATTACATCTCATGAGAGAAAATGAGTGTGACATAGGAATTATTGCTACATGGAAACAGAATGCATCATGTAATCCGACAGCCCGAGTCACAGTAAGTCATTTGTGAATGGAGGTGCCTACTCTACAATCTCAGTTAGGCATTTTCTTAGACAGATATTCTTTATTCCTGTAGGGGACCTTGCCAGCAATCCTTCTGATCCACTGCCTAATGATTCCCACATCAGTCAGCCACCACCAACTGTCTTTTTCTTACTGGATTTAAACAAGTTTCATTTGCACGAAAATATCTGGAAACACATATTTTATTAAGTTTGACACTCTTGACTGCAACACCTATTATAATTTCAGAGATGTTAAAATGTGAACAAAACAAAATCAAAAACATATTATTGGAGTTGATGAAATACCGTAGTGAAAATTTCAGTCTACAATAAAGCTTGTTCCATGAGAATTTCTTCTAAAGGAGAAGTTGGGAATGTCTTGATGTGATTTTTTTTTTTTTTAAAGCTTTATTTTAACATAGCACATTTTACAATAAAAACTTAGGATTGGGGACGTGGAATGAGAAAATATATCTAAATCTCATAGTTCTTTTGTTCTCATGTTATTTATATTCCATGTCCTAGGTATTGACATACTAAACATTTAGACTGTTAATGCCGAACTATAAGCTGCAGATATCAACTTAAGAGGCTGGTTGATGTTCGATGTGAAATAAAACACCAGGAAACACTGACCTGAATAAGAGCAACACTTACTTTGATTTTCGTAATGATCTTTTTCTTTACTAATTATGTACATCAAACTTTGTGTCTGGTTGCCTTATTTATAGGTTAACAAACTTTGTGTCTGGTTGCCTTATTTATAGGTTAACGGTGCAAATCAGTTAACTCATAAACATAACCCATAATATCTACACATACTCTTAAATAAATTACAGAAAAATGAAATAAAAACACTAAAGTTGAAAACCGATCCTTGGTTTTTATCCTAGTTATTAATGCAAGAAACTGTTGTTTTTTTTTTTTTATTTTAACAGTTTGTCTGCGTTGGGGGGAGCCCCAACAGAATGAAAGCGTTTGCATTGTTTATGCGTAAGGAGCTTGGATTGGAGGAAAGTGGAGAGCACATAAAGGACATCTGTGCTGGGACAGACAGATACTGTATGTACAAAATTGGTCCCGTGCTCTCCATCAGCGTAAGTACTCAGTGACTGCACTTCAGGTAGTCAGTCATCACAAGCTCGCAGAAAAAGAGGGAACTTCTGAATCAAGGAGTTCTGTTTCTGCTCCAGCTTTGCCCTCTCACACAATTAAATTAAATTTCCAGGTGTAACATTCATTATTGGAAAAAGTCCTAGGGGCAGAACATAGCATTCAGTGTTACTGTAGTTTAGTTTATTAATTATCACTTAGCAATTCAAGTTAGGGGAAAAAAAACTCAAAGCGCACTTCCTCTCTTTAGTTTGTAACTGATTAAACCACCAGTAATTTTCTCTCCTTTATCCCTTTTCCAGCTTTGGGAATGTTGAGCTTTAAGCACACAGGGGTCAATTTTCAGGATTACCAAAGAGTGCCATTTAACACTATAATAAGCTAGCTGAAAAGCTGTTAATGCATTTCCACAGAGCTCTTGTGAATTACTCATGTATTTAGAATATGTTAACAGGTCTGGACACACACAGTGTCCTAAGACGAAATGAAAATGGAATAATTTACAGTTTTAGGGAATATATAAACCACTTCCTTCTTGAACTCAGGGTGTATGTGCGTGTGCACCAAGCTTGTCTTTCTAAGTTTATCTCTTCCTCGGAATTGTATTCTGAAATAATAGCTCTACACCATCACATATCTGGATGCTGCAGCCCTTGTAAGGGGCACAGCTCAGTTGATCTTCCTTCTGGGTTAAAGATGCCTGAAACTTGCTATGGGCGTGAGCCCATTTATTAATTTTCCTCATTCGATAATCATAGAGTATCTACATTAGAAGGAAACTGAATAACCTTTGATCTTGACAAATTTTGTCTTACTAATTTTTGCTGACTTTTAGACTACAACTGTTTGTCAATTTTTTGCACAATAAATGGGTAAGGACAAAAATGTAAGGTTTATAAAAATGTGAAACTATCATAAACGAGCAGTTAAACATAAGAGTAAGATATCAAAGCAGCAGTAGACAGATCCTGTTGTCTTGTCAGGGAAAAAAGAGCTGAAATATGTATTAGGCCAAGAGGTCAGCTAATTAGAAACGGGCCTCACTAAGCAGACAGTGGATTTCCAATTTGGGCCCCTTCTTTGAAAATTCTTCCTCTCCAGCAACTGAGGGTGTGTGTGTGTGTGTGTGTGTGTGACACAGAGAGAGAGAGAGAGAGACAAAGAGACAGAGAGAGAGAGAGACAAAGAGACAGACAGAGAGAGAGATAGGAGATAGGGCCTTTAGCAGAAACACACAAACCTGGTTGTCATGTTATTACCATGTCACATAGTAAGTGAATATTATAAATATATCAAATATCTGGTATAGAGAGAATCTAATAGATCAAATAATGATTTGTTCTCTTAATTTACAGTTGAGGAAATTGAGATTTAGTTTACTCGTTAGTGGCAGAGTCAATGCCAAAGCCCAAACTTGTCCTTTAGCAGAAACACACAAACCCGATTGTCATGTTATTATCATGTCACATAGTAAGTGAATATTATAAATATATCAAATATCTGGTATAGAGAGAATCTAATAGATCAAATAATGATTTGTTCTCTTAATTTACAGTTGAGGAAATTGAGATTTAGTTTACTCGTTAGTGGCAGAGTCAATGCCAAAGCCCAAACTTGTTAATCTCAGACGTATACATTAATACGGGTTTGATTCATGTCTCCGAGAGACTTGCAATACATTTGAAAGTCAAGATGTGTTCAATGGGAGGCAAAATGGGGAACCCAGAGGTCCAAAGTTTTCATTGTTTAATATTTGTGATGGTGAGAAGGAGGGAACTCAGGTGAGAACATCGTGGTCACAACGACAATGGTTTTCCAGATTTGCTGATGAGAGAATTAGTGACAGGCATCATCTAATTTTTTCTGCACACAAAGTCTTTATGCCAGAGAGCAAAGTTGAAGAACACATTTGACTTTCTAATTTATGTTAGGAATTAAATAACCACCGATTCTAAACTTAGCTCCAGCTACTACAAATTCCAGCATGGAGGATATTTCTAGAGAATTATTAGAACATATTATAACAACTAGGAGTTGCCAAATCCTCTAATCCATGCTGACCCCTTTTCTGGTGACATTGATTCTACTGTTCCAAATGCTGAGGAAAATCGAGGTTATGGTCATGATCTACAGCAACTTAACCTTGCCTGCACGTTCAGTATATGCTCTGAACTGTTAGGCATGGCTGTAACCTACATCTCTACCCTTGTACCTTTCAGAGCTCACAATGAATGAATGAGGCGACATGAGAGTAATGACATGGATTTACTATTTCATTTAGTAAGGTGGAAAGGAACTGATGACATGGAAACCAAATTTATATTTCCTCAAAATCGAGTCAGTCTTGAAAAAGCTCTATTTCAAAGGCTCACTATAAAGAGTCCAGTGGAGAAATGAAAAATGGCACTGCCCTGACACACGGGTACACCATGCCACTGCCACCTTCTGCTCTTGACCATGAAGGCTGAACTCAGTGTAACTGTCAGGGAGATGCCTCTCTCTGATCCTCAGAGATGAACATGTCGATCAGCATGTCATGTAGGCGTCAGTTAGAGCTGCTTTACGTCTTCCTCGGCTTTGGGCAAGTCGTGATCATTATGTAAATTTATCTAAGGGCTGGTAACTTGTAATGAAGAAAGAAAATATGTCCTGTGCCTGTATCGGTTTGCGAGATGTATAATGAATGACCTTCTCTTTTTTTCTCAACAGCATGGTATGGGCATTCCTTCCATTTCTATCATGCTTCATGAACTCATCAAATTACTGCACCACGCCCAGTGCTGTGACGTTACCATTATCAGAATTGGCACATCAGGGGGAATAGGTGAGATGGTTTGATTTCTACTATAAAGTCCAAGTGACTGTTCCATACAGAGTAGCTGCCAAAATATAGAAACATACTCAGAGCCTAGTAGAAAACCAGATGGGCTAAGAAGTGTCAGGAGGCTTAGCTTAAGGACATTAAAAGTAATTTAGAGAAATATTTCTTTTCTATCTTCCTCTTTTTTCTCCATGGAAACCTGGAGGGAGAGATCCCACTGCCTATTGCCTAGATGAACTTAGGTGTTCTTAAGGGGACAAGTAGAATTACTAGGAAATATGTTTTGAGGATAAGAGTAAGTTTTGAGGGTTATCGAAATTTTGAGGTGTAGGAATTTTTAAGTGACAGAAATAAGTGTTTTCACGTAAAAAAATCACCACTAATATTTCCCTTGTTTGTTAGCTATGTCAGCAGACTTCATAGTTCTTAGGAAAATGTTGCTTTTAGCTCAAGTCTGCAATTACATCCCCTTTCTTGGCTGGATTTTTTCCTTACAACACACCAGAGGAGATCAGTCTTTAGGGAAGGGCCAAGAGATGCTTCCTAAAGTTTCCCCACAGCTTCCCCTCCTCCCTTCTTCCTTGGCTGGTCAGGCAGCTGGTCAGGGGCCTTGTTTGTGCTTCCACACTGAGCTGAGATAAGGTTCTGAGGAAACCTCCTTCTTTTTCAACCTTTCCTTTAGGAGCAGATCTTGTGAGGGAGTGATTTTACTGTCATCAACTGCGAATACAGACAGAGCATTGTAACTGAAAGAGCTTGGTTGACAGAATGACAGGACTGACTGGGAATTAGAAAAAAAAGCTGAGATTTTGGTCTTAGAACTACATATTTTTGGAGCAAAAGTGACCTCAAAAATCCTCAAACAAAAAACTAGAGAAGTGACTTGTTCACTATCACAGAGCCACAGAGAGCTGAGCCGTGCTTCAGTAGAAACAGACATGTTCAAAAAGATTAGCCCCTCTCCACAGCTGTGGTGCATGAATAAAGTTCAGCCAAGACTTTATTTTTCCATATGAGATAGAAAAAAAGGACATTCGTGGATGTCCATCCTGAAAGAGGAGAATGTTAGCAATCATTGTTACATTAGGCATCCTCCTGGATGCCCTTATTTTGGCCTTTGAAAGACTTTAATCAGGATATAAATGTTCTAAATATTAGGATGGCATGTGAATAGCATCATTTTTGATGCCCGCATTTTTAATTTCTTTCTCAATCATTTTCCTATTCTTAGAATATTGTGAATAATTCAAGGATCCACTTATTTGATTTGTTTAAAAAGTATTAACCCACCAACGCTCTATCATCAGAATTCACCGTGGGTCCCTGGCTGGATTGGTTAACGTTACATTGACCAATATTGGAATTTATAAAAACCCAGAAGATATGGCTGTCCTCAATGGCAGGGTTTGATAAGCTTTCTCTGTAAAGGGCCAGATAGTAACTGTTTTAGGCTTTGCAGGTCTTATGGTTTCTGTTGCAACTTCTCAACTCTGTTATGACAGTATGGAAGCAACCATAGACAATATGTAAATGAATGAATGTGGTTATAAGTAAATAAAACTTTACTTACAAAGACAGGCTGGAATTGACCCATGAATTGTAGTTTGCTGATCTCTGCAGCATTATAACTCTATGGAAGCACTCTTCCATTCAACAAATTTTTATTGAGTACCTATAATGTAATAGGCATATTGCTAGACCTGGGGAGACAACAGTGAACAGACAATGCTCTTGCCTTAATGGAGCTTATGTTTCATCAGAGCAATAGAGAAACAAATGAATAATTACAAAAAATGTGATTAAAGTTAGAACAGAAAGAGTCTAGGGCACTATCATTATATGTCCCCTTATTTTGGCTCTAAACAGAAATCGGAATGGTTCAAAACTAGGTCAAAAGCTGGGCCTCGAGAAATTTAATGTAACTTATCTGTCTCCTTTTAATTTTTTTCCCCTCCATGGATTCATACCATTTGGAGGAAGTGACTTAAGCCGATGCCTGAAGAATGAGTCCGTGTCAGTCTGACGAAAAGGTGTCGGGGAGGACAAGAGAGCATTCCAGGCAGGGAGAATAACAGTTGGCAGAAAATGGTTTCTCAAGTCCCTGTGACTTGAGTTAGTGAGTCCCATGAGCAAGCCAGACTTTGCAGCACTGGAAGGTCAGCCAAGAGGCCTAATTTACATGGGGCCAGAGAGGAGAGAAGAGAATGGACGTGAGGAGAATCAGAAGGAAGAGAAGATAGAGATGCAAAGAAATTACAGTAATCAAGGAGCTGCAGAGAAGATTAAATATCAAGTAGTCACATCACTTTATGAAAGCTACTTGCTGGCAGGCTCATTTAGTTTGTTCCTGACCTAATTTATTCAAATTTGAGCCCGAAGGCCAATACTAATTTGCATGTCCAAGAGTCATGTTTGTCTTGAAATCTAAACCCCATCACATTGTAAACATGAATGTGGAAAGACAGCAAATGTAAATGCTTATACTGAATGTTGTTATTTAATTGCATTTGAAAAAGAAAATAATTTAAAAGATGAAAATAAGGAGAATCATTAGCCACTAGCATTAATTAGTGTTGGCAGAACTAATTACATACTATGTGTCAAAAGTAAACTGTAAGTGACATTCTTTGGTAACCATTTATTTATTCTCATACTACAGGGATCACACCGGGGTCTGTTGTAATAACAGATACAGCTGTAGATTCTTTCTTCAAGCCTCGGTTTGAACAGGTAATCTTGGATAACATTGTCACCCGAAGTACTGAACTTGACAAGGAACTGGCTGAGGAATTATTTAACTGTAGCAAAGGAATACCCAACTTCCCAACGCTCATTGGACATACGATGTGTACCTATGATTTTTATGAAGGTAAGAAAAATTCATAAACTGTGAATGCAACTGAAAATTGTTAGCAACTCTTTGTTATTCAAATCCATAATTTATATTAAAAACTCCTCTTTAGAAAATTAATAGTTGGGGATTAAAAATGGAACTGAAACAGCCTTTTTAACTTTCTGAAGCATAGGAATGTAAGGACATAATAAGCCACAGAGAAACACACATAATGAATATATATTGAGAGTGGGTTTAATCCTCCAAGAACAAATTGAATACTAAAATGCAATTAGTGATGTTAGCGAAATCTTATCTCTGTTTATGCTTTTAATTTAAATTGGTGACTCTGGGAGAAGGGGAATATGTTGATTCTGTTTCTGCCATTTTGAGGTATAATCATCTGTACCTCAAAAAGGATCTGGCAGTCAAGAAAAAGCGGAGACCAGGAAATGGGGAGAAATATTTAGGGGAGGAAATTCCAAAGGGATAGGGTGATCTCAGAGTGATTCTTGTTCTTTCAGTGATGAGCAGTGTCCCCAAATCAAGTTAAAATTTTAAAAATTATGTGTGGAGATAAGATATATTATCTAAAAATGTTACTTCAGTAAAGGTGGCACCACCACGTACATATTATAAAACAAGAGGCATGTTGAGTCTGATTAGGGTTGAGACTCTGATAGGCCACTGGCCCCCTCACTGAGAGGGTCACGGATGGGTTTAAGCCAGAGCTTGCAAATGGCAGCCTTTTGGAGTCAGTGTTTTCTTTAGCCTGCACAGAATTTTTTAAACGTGAATTTTCTTTTTGCCAACATTTATAATTTCTGGAGATTTCATATGAAAATCCATAGTTTTGTCTTCTGGAAATAACATAACATTAAAAAATGTAAAATAATGCATGGCAGGCCTGGTAAGCCTCAGCCCACATTCAGTGAAGGTGAGGTGAGACTGCTCCCTTCAGACCACACAGACCTCGTTGACATTACCTGCTTGGCTTCTAGGACATCTGAGTTTGAATCGGCTTAAATAACACTATATTAGAGGTGTTGGCAGGCGGCCTTAAGGAGGAAGGCCAAAGGAGAAGCAGACAGCCAGGGTGAAAGTAGCATGAAAGATAGAGGAAAGGGAGGAAAAAAAAAGAGGAAAGGTAGCCAAAAAGTAAACTGTGCCAATAATAGAAGGTCACAGGGTGATATTATCCTGCTTTGCTTCAACCCAGGCCATCCTTGGGAGTTGGGTGTGGGGAAATCGGTTGCTAGTACATGCAAGGTGGAGATGAGTAATAGCATCGAGCTTTTCCCACCCTCTTCTAGCTCCATAAGTTGATATAGGTGAAATTACGTGATGAACGAATACTGAGAGCAGCCTAGAAGGGAAAAAGTGATCACAAATGGTGACATACAGCCTGAGAGCTGTGTGTCAAGGAAGAAGGTAGACAAATCTATTGTCTGTATGTGGCTGCCACTGTCATCATAGGCAGATGGAGAGCTGCAATGTCCAAACCAGTGTCCTGATTCTCAAGTAGCTAAGAACACCACAGTCTTGAAGCCTCTTCTCCCCTAGCACCAGCACCTGGCCCTGGGTGATCCCCCAGTCTCGGGAACAACCTAAGATTTTCCTCAAAGGACAGATCTCTCAGTAACCCTTTGGGTACAGTGCTGGTTGCTGCGGCCACTCAATGGTTACTTGCTCCAGAGCTGGGGTGCTCAGCACCATAGAGACTCCTTTACATATGAGACTCCTGAGTGGGGCACAGCCTTGCTCCTCATCCCATGATAGAAAGATTCAGATGGTGGGGTTTGTCCTACCTGGGGTGCAGACCCAAGAGATAGAGTCAGCTGCAGAGCACTCCAGCTGACAGCAAGCTTCTTAGGGATGCCACTGCCACTGTGGTCACTATTCTCTATTCTCTTTCAGGCCAGGGTCGACTAGATGGAGCACTGTGCTCCTTTTCCAGAGAAAAAAAGGTAGATTACTTGAAGAGAGCATACAAAGCCGGCGTCAGGAACATTGAAATGGAATCTACAGTGTTCGCAGCCATGTGTAGACTTTGTGGTCTAAAAGGTAAGCTGTTCACGAATATCTAAGATGAAAGTCTCTCCTTCATGAAGTTACTTTCACTCTGCAGGAGAAGAAAAAGAAGTCCAGCTATGTATTATTTTGGGTTGAATGCATGCCTTATAATTGTTCATAATATGTATTATCTCAAGATGTCTTTTGAGTAGGCAGGACACTATTCCCATTATGGAAATGAGGAAACCAATTCTCAAGGGTCAAAAGCAAGTTGCCAAAGGTCACCAGCTATTGGGTTATATAGCCAGGACTTGACAGCAAGTTCTACTTTCTTACTCCTGGCTGCTATTCTCTATTACAGTTGAATTTATCAAGACATGACACAAATAAAATATTCCTAAAATAGTCCATCAAAGGACTAGTGTGTTTTTAAAGTTAATTTACATGCATTTTTGCTTTTCCCAACTTTTTATTTAGAAAACTTTTAATAATACAGAAAGTGGGAAGTATAATAAATATCTACATACCTTTTACCAAGATTCAACAGTTTTTAATATTTTGCCACATTTGTGCATGCTCTCTAAATATATATACAGTATATACACACCCACACACCCCATTTGCTTTTTTCCCTGAATATTTGTAAATGAATTGCAAACATCATGCCACTTAACTTTTGTACCTCAGTATCATTTCATAAGAATAAAAATATTCTCCTAATGATCACAACACCATTATCAAACTGACAAAAAAGATTTAAAAAGGAAAAATAGTTTCATAATATCACTTAACATCCATTCTATATTTAAATTTTCCTAAAAATATCTCTTCTAGATTTTTTGCTTATCCAACATCAAATTAACTTTATACATTAGTTATTTCATTGTTATATCTTTACGTTTTACATCGAGCATATTCTCCCTGTTTTTCCTCAATACAGTAGATTTTCTGAAGAGTCAAGGCTGTTATCTCGCAGAATATTTCATGTTCTAGAATTGTCTGAGTGTTTCATCATGGGGTTTCACTTGCTCGTCTATGCTGTATATTTCCTATAAAGTGGAACTAAAGTCTAATGGCTCAATTAGATTAGCAATTTCAAGTTGGATCACTTGGTTCAAGTGGTAACTGCTATCTCGCTCCATTGGAAAGTTAAAGTTTTCTCTTTGAAAGTAGCAAGTAATTTACGGGGGTGATAATTTGGAACTGCATTGATATCCTGTTACCCAACTGTCATTTACCCAATGACTTTAGCATGGGTTCCAAAATAGTGGTTTTCTTATTCCTTCACTCGTCCTATGTTTATTAACTGGCATCTTCTTTAAGAGGAGCTTTTCTTTCTCACACATCTTTCTGCCTTTCTCGATCTCTCTCTTTTTTTTTCCCTCATGGTGGGGTGGAGGGAGGCATTGTATTGTGGATTTTGTTCAAATCAATACTGTTATAAATGATTTCTGTCATTATTCTTTTTGGTACTCAAATTATCGCAAATTTGGCCAGGAAGAGGTCCCTCTATTGCACTCTTTTGTCCCTTTGAAATAAACCTATTAACTCGTGAGAATTTTCCAACTTTCAGGCACGACCAGTTTCTGAGGCATGAGTTGTACTTCCCTTGGCTCAGGTCTGGAATCAGCCATTTCTTCAATAAGTTCTGGTTCCTTTTGGTAGAGAATGGTATTAAGAAACTGAATATGGCTGCAGTATGTATTTTTATTTTTAGTGAAATTATTCCAAGAGAACCACCAACCTTAGACCAGCAACAAGAAAACCTAATGAAGTAAAACAATTTTCATGAGCACTAGTCAATATAACTATTCTTTGTGATTTTAAATTATATTCATAGTCATCTTATAGATTTAAACATTTTTTAATTTTATTAATGAAAGAGAGTAAAGCTACAAAGTTAATAAAATATTGCTTATTCAATTGACTATGAAAACGTCAGACCTAAAGAAGAATATCAACATCTAAAATAGGGGTTTTGACTGAGAAGTAATTCCCAAATATTAACAATAATTTCTAAGAAAATGTTTGAGCAATACTTTTTCAGAGTTCAGTTTAGTATTTCACATAGCAATTTTCTTTTTTTAAGAAAAAAGTCCATAAAAGTCCATAGCAATTTTCTCTTTTTAAGAAAAAAGTCCATCAATATAGTGTTATTGATTCTAATATGTTTTATAGTATGCCTACCAAGTGGGTGGCACAAAATTAAGAAGCCTGGTTTTTAAATTGGATTTTGGTAGGTAAGATGTATATCAATCATTATATTTCTAAACAAAGAAGGACTTTCATCCATGCATCAGTGAGTGTCCTGAGTGCCCCAGCATTGGGGATACAGCAGTGGACACCACAGGTGGGATCTCTGCCCTCATGGAGGGAGACAGACAACAACAACAAAGAGTAATATCTAAAAACATAGTGATATATAAGATGCTGAAGAGTGGTATGGTAAAAATAAGGCAGGGAAAGGGAATAGGGATGACCAAGGTACAGAAGAGGACCATAATTTTAAATAGCATGGTCGGAGAAGAAGGTACCATTTTGGAAAATGCCATGTGACGTTTAAGAAAGAGCAGTGTGGAAAACACAAATCTAGGACCACCAGGCAGGGGTACCCAGAGTGTGTTGGGGTTGTAGGGGAGTAGCACAATGGAGAGTGGTAGGAAAGCGGTGTATGGATGGTGTGGTAACTGTGAGAAGTGTGACTTTCACTTGGAGGGCTTTGAATAGAGAAGTGAGTGGATATGATTTGCATTTTAATAGGACCACCCTGGCTGCCGAGTTGGGAAGAGCCAACTGGGGTCAAGGGCAGAAGAAAGGAGAGGAGTAAATGGTCAAATACAGCAGTCTAAGGAGAGATGATGGACCAGAGTGAGAGCAGTGGAAGTGGTGAGAAGTAGTAAAATTCTAAGTACATTTTGAAGGCAAATCCAGTAAGATTTGTCAACAAAGTGATGTGAATTTTGAACGAAAGACAAGAATTAATGATTTTTAGATTTTTTGGCCTGAAAAACTGGAAGGATGAAATTATAATTAGGAAAGAGAGTTGAGTGAGGATTTTGGAGTTGTAGTCATTAAATGGAGGCTAAGTAAGCAGATGGATTTATGAATCTGGAATTTAAGCAAGAAGTTTGGACTGAAGAAGCAAAATTGTAAGTTGACAGTATATGGTTGGCATTTAAAGCCATGCAATAATTGAGATGACAAAGTGAGTGAGTGTAGAAGCAGATGAGGAAAGGTCCTTGGTTAGAAGTTAAAAGTTAGGGGAGGTAAGGACAATCCAGGGAAGGACACTAAGGAGGGAAGTTGGCAGAACACCTGGAGAGTCTAGTGTCCTGGCACCCAGAGAAGAAAACTTCAAAGAAGCAGTAAAGAATTATAGTGTGATAATGCTCCATTTGATTCAAATGGAATTTTAATTCCAATATTTGTTCTTATAGTTAATCAATTTGAATATACCAAACTACAAACAAAATGTTTGTGGTAACATTTCTAAAAATATATTTTAGAAAGAAATTATAGTTCAGAACAGATTAGTTATAGAACCACTATCCTTAACTACTTCCATCTCTTATAGTACATTTACGTGCAAATCTTTGTATTATATGGGTGAAGGATACAAATACACCCTTGTCCTCTTTAGAAAGTCATCATTAATACCCCCTTTCAGAGAAACAATTGCATCTGTTTTTCTCTTCTGTTTTTAGTGAGAGTGGGAACTCCAGCTGGGGTCAGCTTGACCTTGCCTGAGAGCAGTTCAGTTAGCACACAGCCTGCAGGAACACCTGGATTCAGATATTTCTGCTTCAGGAAATGCTTCTCACATTTCTTTATTATAGAAACAACAAGCACTCACTTGAGTCACAGCCCCACTTAATATGCAAATAGAGCAGGATTAACAACCAGTTTAGTTAAACATAAAATGCCTATATACAAATGTGCTGTCCTGATATAAGTTTGGTGATGACCATCAGTTCTTTCTTAAGAGGCATCACTTGGCAGCCAGGGAGCATCCTAGGCTTGTGAACCCTGGACCTGCACCTCTCTCTTTTTAAGGACGTTGCCAAAACCTCAGAGAAGTTACTCTGTTATAAGGGATTTTCTGTCCTTGCTGCAAATCCTTGTGACTGCTCTCTCTGCCACCTGCAGGTACTCTCTTGGACAATTCTGTCTAGCTTGCTGTAGTTCCTGCCACCTGCTGCATTTTCCTTTTTCTGCTGCTGTTAGCAGATTTTAACTTGCCAATAGCTCTCTTCTAGGCCACTGCTGCAGCCTTGTCATTGAGCATTGAGTAGATGTCTTCTGGGCTGCCAACATTCACACTAAAGGTTGCACCTGTACCTCTGTAATTCTATAGTTCTTCAAAAGATTTCTGCCTGAATTTCTTTGTGGCGACTCTTTGTCTCTCTCATACACCACTGTTTTGAAAGCTGAACCTGGTACAGTGCCCCCTGGAAGACTGACCACCAAGAACACAGACAAAAACCCCATGCATATGATGCTACCATGTTCCCATCCTTCCTCACTCATAACATGCTTCCCCCCACAGCCATTAAGCTTGGAAAAGCTCTGTGTGAGCTGGAAAAGGGCTGAGACAGCCTTCACAAGCAGCTGTTTTAACATAGAGGAAGTTAGGGAGGATATACCAATGAGAAGCAACGTAGGAAAGTATGTTTCACCTGGCACCAAGAGCTCAGGACAGAGAGGCTCAGTTGGCCTCCCCATCTCCCTCTATCCTGCTCCCACTGTTAATAATGACCCAGCCCACCCTGTTTCTCCAGGCAGCCTTCTCTAATGACTTGTTCTGTCCCTTTAATACTACCAGATGACTGAACTCAGTCTGACTTCATACTAAGGAGATGATGGCTAATGGTTTCAGCTTATAAAACACAACTTTTTTTTTTTAACGAGGGTCTTCTAGAGACCTATTGTCTTACCTAACCCAGAGGAGTCACTCAGTGAGTTTGGATCAGTGTAGAAACAGATCATTCAGCATCCACTTGAGACAAGGATGTCTTGGGTTCACATGGATTACCCTTTCTTCTCTTTGTGAT